ATACAAGTTGTTTTCCTTCTTGAGTCTGCCAGTTAACAATTTGCCAGGTCCAATTGTGGACCAAGGGAACAGATGCATGAAGAGCAGTGAAGGAGGTAGAGAAATTTAACTAGATGTTGGTGAAAACCAAGATGAATTAACCGAAGCAGAGAAACGCCATTTGAGAAATATTTAGCAATTCTAAGTGCAAAACTGGGCGTACATGGTGAGCGAATATACCTGACTCAGTCAACTCTTAGTTTATTCTGGGCTGAGGGACGTGTGGATTTGGTGAAGGGAAATGATACATTTGATAAAAATGTAGGGCCACCTACACACTTCAGTCTGAAGTGGCTCAACTTTTTAGATAGTTTTAATGCCGCAATTTTTTTAAAAAAAAATCCTAAAACCTCAAGAACCCTTTTTTATCCCCAAATATATCTAAACCAACAACTAATTATATTCTGCAGTATTCTCTTTCATCCATATAAAGGAGAATATTTGTAATAGGGTTGAAATAAGGAGTCCTGGATGCTTTCTGAGCTTGGCTGTTTCCTTGCAGACATTTCATTACTCAAACTAGGAAACATCATTAGTATACTTACTATCAGAGAGCGCCAAGGACCCCTCTCTTTCACACATTTTAGCCATGTCTTTGCAAGGAAGTCTGCCCAAAACTTCCGTTTGTTCTCATAATGAAAAGAAAATACAATCAAGACAGATTTAATATATACAGTAACCAAATCCAAGATACTCCGCATATGGAGTTTTCTAAACAGCTATGCTCACGAGAGAGCCAGCTTGATGTAGCAGTGAGAGCATCAAGCTAGAAATTGAGAGTCTGTGAGTTCTACTCCTGTCTTAGGCCTGAAAGTCAGCTGGGAGACTTTATTTATTTATTTATGAGACTTATATACCGCTTTAAGTGCAAGCACTCTCTAAGCGGTGTACACCAGTAAGCAATGTATATATATATTTACATTGCCCCCAACAATCTGGGTCCTCATTTTACCTACCCCGGAAGGATGGAAGGCTGAGTCAACCTTGAGCCGGTGAGATTTGAACCGTTGACCTGCTGAACACAGTCAGCTAAAGTGGCCTGCCGTACTGCACCCTAACTGCTGCGCCACCTTGGCTCAAGAAGACTTTGTGTCAATCACCAGGAGACTGTGAGTTCTAGTTCCACCTTAGGCAGGAAAGCTGTCCGGGTGACTTTTGGTCAGTCACCAGGAGATGATGAGTTCTAGTTCTTATCCTGCTTTGGGCACAAAGCCATCTAGGTGACCTTGGACCAGTCTCTCTGTCTCTCTCTCTCTCTCAACCCTAGGAAAAGGAAGGCAAGAACAAACCACTTCTGAAAACTTTGCCAAGAAAACTGCAGGCCAGGCACTCACCGGAAGGCAAAACTGACTCAAAGGTACACACAGGGAGAAAGAAAAAAAAAATGAAGGATAGTTCATCAGGAAAACCTGGTAGAGACAAAAATTTGTCAAAAGTCATTAGTCAAAACTTTTTACAACAAATAAAGATAAACAATTCACACAAAAAAATGTCTTTTTAGACCAACGTTTACTCAACAGTCAGACTAAAAGTATTCAAAAGAAGAGAAGACAAACGAGCGACATAAGTAAAATAACAACCAGAAAGAGTACGAATGGAGATGCAGGCAGTAAAAGGAAAAAACATCTACCAAGAAAGAAAGAAAAGAGCGGAAATACATAACACACATTTCACAAGTGTTAATCTGGCATCAAATAGGCTTTTCAAAAATTTCAAACATCCCTAGATTTATGTTAGGCTAACTGAGCAGCATGATGAAAAATGTTTATATACAATTGCTATGCAGATCATCGGTTTACAAAATAGTAAACCTCATGTTTAACAGACATTGGTTTAAAGGACTTTGGACACAAAGGAACAACTTTTTATTTTGCCTTCCACTCCCATTTAATAGACCTTGCTGCTAACTTAAAGGGCCTTCCATTAAGCTCGGTTGTTCATTAAATCTAGGTTTTACTGCAAATGATATCGCCTCAATTCTGTAATTTTGTCAGATATAAATTCAGATTGAACAGGCATGCCTTCTTTCCTCCATTTTGTTCACTAGTAAAACATCCCAGAAAAAAAAAAAAGGTTGACTACTTGTGCATGAACTATTTGGAGTTGGTAGACCTGTCACAAAAGTTTTTGAATGGCAAAAACATCCTTCACTTTGCCCTCATCAGTTTAACAAATTATACTGTCAAGATTTCAACCAATTTCTTTCTTGGGTAGTATAGGTTTATCTTGGAAACAATTCAGAGCCGCAGTCGTCATACTGAGTTATGTTGTTGATATGCATTTAGATTTCATCTGTTGAACAAAAAAAAAGCTTCTTAACTGGACCCAAAGCCATTAATAACAAAGTTATGGTTGTGATGACTTCTAATCCAAATTTTCAGTTTCCAAGACACACAAGGAGCAATTCAGACAATTTTTTTTTAGGCACAATAAAAACTTCCTCCTAGGCTAAGTCTCATGCATATTCCCTCCAGTTTTTATGGTCAGTGCTCCTCTATAAAATAGCTGGCCTTTTCACATCTAATTAGCAGTTGATGATATTTATTAGGCCACATGCAATAACGTTCATTTTGGCTGAGCATGTTGGAAACATTGCACTCATTTACCAGATTTCTTCACAGATCTCAGTCAGAGCATCTTTTTGTTCAGGTTGTTTATTCATCTCAAGATGGTGTTACGCTCAAAGGTCTCTAGATTTAAGTCATGGTAAATGGGAATAAAAGCACTCTCTGATGTGCAGGAAAAGACCCTACAATTCCTTGACTTCCCACCATAGGTATGAAACAGGAGAAGTTCTACTTTCAAGGGAAGCAAGAGGTCTTGTGCAATAAGCAAATTCTTTGAGTGAAAGAAACATATAATGTCCTAGGTCGTTTCCAGATGTGGTTCTAGATTTCCTTGGGAAAAGATCTCTTGAGATGTGTCTTAAGATCTCCGCAAGACCCCATAATTGCTAGCTTCCAAATGTTGCTGAGTGCTGCCTTCTTCCAGCAGCATCTCTTCGCCACAAAACCACAGGCACAAAAATCCCCATCCCAAAATGTTGTTGACCCCCGAGTCCGGGGATGCAATTCATATCCCAAACAGATTTAAAGAAACATCTGGTCCTGTCCTTTGTTTCAAAACATTCCTCTAAATTAAGAAATCGGTTTGCAGCATCTATTCCTAAAAGCAGCTGTCGTTGATCCAGAATATAAATAATTTTTAAAAATGGGATAGAGGTATTTGACTCTTCTTGGTTGGGCCTTGCAGATTCAGTTAGGAGAATCCTAGAAACACTGGAATTAGTCTAAAATTTTGCCCTATATAACGTACACATGGGGTTTAAACATGGACTTTGGTACAGCTCTTCTCAAGTTATTGAGAAGTCCAAATGATGCTGGATATATAATATATGACTAATATATCTCTAAATTACATGAGAGATTTTTGCCACTAGTTTTGTCTGAAGCAACGCTTTGGTGGGGCTTCACAATAGGTAGGATTTTGGGGGGGAACTCAGTATAAGCATACAAATCAGCCCAACTTTCCTCCAAGGTTGTTGGGTTTTTTGGGGGAGGGGGGAAAGGGGGTAGGGGAAGAAGAGAGTGCCGGCTTTACTGGAAAAGCAGGATAAAAATCAAATTAAATAAATGTAAGACCTATTTATTTCAAAGGACTTAATCTTACACGTGAGTATATACAGAACTTGCCTCACTAAAATGTTTATACCAGAGGCTCCCAACCTTTTGGGCACCAGGGACCAGGTCCGTGAAGTGTGTGGTTTTGTGTGCTGCCTGTATCCCATGGATGGGGCTTTGCTTGTTTATGCAGACCGGTTGCTAGCATGCCACGGCCTGGTACCAGTCGACAGACCGGGGGGGGGGGGGTTAGGGACCCCTGATCCATATATTGTGATAATGATCAAAGTGATGACACTAGACCATTTCATGGGAGAGCTTCTTGGTTGCTAATACATGTCATCTTCTAGTCAAAGGACAAGCTTTTAACCTTTACAAAACAAACTCCTTTCCTGACCATTGTTCTTAAGTATGGTCAGCTTTGCAAATCAATGGTGACATCATTGTAGATTGTTGCCAGCTTAAGACCAAAATTAAGCCCAAACTTTCTGTTGCTAAGTGAGATAGTTGTTTAGGTGAGTTTTGCCCCCTTTTATAGCCTTTCTTGCCACAGTTTTTAAGGGAATCACTGTAGCTGGAGGTAAGTCACGTGATTGTTAAGTGAATTTGGCTTCCCCATTCACTTTGCTTGTCAAGAGGTCCCCAAAACGATCACGTGACCTGGAACACTGCAACCGTTATAAATATGAACCAATTGCCAAGTGTCTGAACTTTGATCATGTGACCATGGGGATGCTTCAAGAGCCGTAAGTGTGAAAAATGGCCATAAGTCACTTTTTTCAGTACTGTAACTGAACAATCATTAAATGAATGGTTGAGAAGTCCAAATGATGCTGGATATGTAATATATGACTGGAAACAATTGTTGCCCAAATGCATGCTTATGGACATAAATGTCCATATAGAAACCCTTGAAGGATAGAAACTTGTTATCTCTAAATTACATGAGAGATTTTTGCCACTAGTTTTGTCTGAAGCAATCTGTACTTGTGTTCCACTCAGTCTGTTTTGGGACTTAACTCTCTTCTTGTGGTCTTCTACTCCTACTGAAAGCTTCCACTGGTCCATCCTTTCTCTCCTATCTCTACTGGAAGCTTCAATTGATCCCATAGTCAGATGTAGCGAACAAACATCTTAAAGTCTCTTTAGATGACATTCAGATACATGCACTCTGGGGAAGATGTGCCAACCGTACAAACATCCTTGGACAGCTCTTGTTCCACCAAAGTTCTCAGAATAGTAGAGCCGAGTTTTGTTTGTTTAGTGGTTGTTGGGGTTTTTATTTTTTATTTTTTGCTTAGTTTTTCCTGCAGTACCAAATTCCGATTTGAAGAGCGGAGGCCTTAATTGCCAACTGAATTATTCAGCATGTTACAACAACACCGGAGAGATTTTCCTGCTAGGCGACACAGGAAAGAGGACATGACAACGTTTGAAAGATGAACATTCAATCAACCATTAAAAAGAGAAGACCAAGTAGGCGGAGAACTTATCATCTTGCTTTTAGTCTCCAGATTCCTTCCATCTGCCATCTTTCACTAGCAATACACCCTGACATAACTGATAAATAGACACTGCGAACCCATTTTGCGGTCATCATCTCTATAAAAAAACTTCCAATTTTCCCTCCTCAGATCTCACAGAATATTCTCCATCATTTCAGTCCAAAAAGGGCTTGAATTATGATGCTTATTGACCGCATCCAGAGACAGGGGTCCTTCTCGAGGACACCACCTGCCCCAAACATTCATTTCCATCTGCAGGAGGGGGGATAGCATTGTGTGAATGCTTGTGGATCATAATTGTCTCTTCAGTTCCCAGGAGGTTATATCTTTTTTTTTTTTCCTTCATTTGAAGAGACCAACTTTCACTTTTCAAACTTTTGGAAGAGTTTGTAGGAAATTTCAGCGAAGAAAGCCGTTTCCGTTCTTATTGTAAAAAAGCCCTTCAGAAATGATTAAACACATATGTAAACTTCTGCAGCCAATTTCTTGCTGTTAAAATGGCTGCATTTTAGTAACACAATTTCAGAAAACTTTTCAGAGGGAGATAAGGGTAGCAATTCAGATGCTTTATCTTCCAGAGCCCTTCAGCATTCATGGCCACCTTTAATTTTTTAAAAAAAAATGCAAATTTGCCACAAAAATTCAGCCGCCAGAGGCCAGGATGCAAGGATATCATATGCATGGGATGATGATACCAAAGTAAAACACACACACACACACACACACAAATGCAACACGCCCATCTTCTTGCATTTTGTGAGGTTTCTGCAGCAAGTATCCAGGATATAATTCACAATTTTTTCACCTACACACCTTCTGATGTTTGTCTACATTTCAGGCACAGCTCAGCATTTATCAGATTCTTAAAGGGCTGATTCCGTGTTCTGATGATGTGGCATTTCTGTGTAATTCTTCATTCAGCTTTATTTTTGCCTTCTGCAGTTTGAGTCGACTTTTATTCATCCTTTCACCATACAGATTCCAGCTGCTTCTTATCCTCTAAAAGAGCAAAACAAAGAGAGAGAAAAACCCACCACCTTTCCTCCCCACACCCAAATCTAAGAGAGCCTCCTAAAAGCTTTATCCCAAAGACATAAGATCTGAATTAAGCTGGGTCTCCAAAGCATTAAATTTCTAGAGCTCTTTGCCATGAGCCCTGCTAGCTGGTCCCACTGGGAGCTGACAGCCATGAACTACTTTTAAGGCCAGACACTTCTGCCTCTCCCCCAAATTCCTGAAACGGAAGAGCAGCTTAGGAGCGAATGGCTGCAGGCATCATGCTTGTGGGACTGAGCCTGCCTGGTTCAAAACATCCGCACCCTTGAGACAAGGTGACCTATAGCCTCTCTTCTACTCTGAGCCAAAGAATACACAAAGCAGATGTGCGGAATCGGGCAGGATGGATAGATGAGAGGACAGAACAGCCTAGCCAATTCTTTCTGTGCTAATATAGTGCAAATTCTGTTGGTTCCGTTTATGAAGCTGCAGAGGAGAGCTGGAAGAATTAATCAGTGGGACGACTTGCCTCCAGAAGTTGTGGGTGCTTCAACACTGGAAATTTTTAAGAAGAGATGGACAACCAACTGTCAAAAATGGTATAGGGCAGCGGTTCTCAACCTGTGGGTCGGGACCCCATTTGGGGTCGAACGACCATTTCACGGAGGTCGCCATTTTTTCCCCCTTTTCCTTAGCTGTGCTACTCCCTTTTATTCTATTGGCTTTTGAAAGCCAATAGAATAGACTCTCTTGAATACAGTCTAATTCTATTGGCTTTCAAAAGCCAATAGGAATTGTCCAGACTGTCTCTGCCCTGTTGAGCTCGCCAAAAGTCCCATTCTGCAAACGGTGCTGCACCTGTTGAGTAGTCCTCGACTTACGACCGGTTGAGTAGTCCTCGACTTACGACTGGTTGGGGAGGCGCAGCATTAAAAAGGTTGAGAGCCACTGGTATAGGGTTTCCTGCCTGAGCAGGGGGTTGGACTAGAAGACCTCCAAGGTCCCTTCAACTCTGTTATTCTAAGTTTGAACCCCAAAAGGGGAGAAAGGAAACACAACCAGGCAAAGCACATTCTTTTAGGCATTTTATTTATACTTCATATTTCTTAACCGCCCACTTTCCTCATTTTTTTCCATTGTATAAGGGAGTTATCTATTGGTGATAAAGATGATTCTTTTTACCAATTCATCTTCATGTGAATCTAGGTCAGAAAGGGAAAACTTTGACCCAATTTCCATCTCTCCATACAGCCTGAGGTTGACATGCTCCACCTTAATTGATAGCTATCCCGAGTCTATGATCTGAAGCATTTGATCTGCATTGAGCAAGCCAGAAACCAGTGGGGTGGCAGCTCTCTTTACAACAAAAACTTTCTGAGATGTTCTTCCAATTTCTGGCTATGAAAGAATAATGCATACATAGCACAAACGTTGAAACTCAGTACCATAAAAAGGATGAAGTAAGTAGATGTAATTAGTAGGACGCAGGTTATATACACTTGACAAAAAATAAAAACTCAGTAACTCTAATGCACTTTTGTAAACGGAAATAATAGTCTAATATTAAAACCAGATAGTCGGCTGAGCTAGTAAAGTAGTTTTTGCTTCTCAATTAATCTCAGTTTTTTATGGAATGTAGTAAAATGCTACAGTCAGGGAAGACCTGGGCCAAATATTAATTCCAATGGTTCTCTTCTCTGTTCTTCTTTCTCAATAATGATATGCAGTTCTATAGTTAAACCCAATAAATATTAAGCTTTTGTTCATTTTTGAGTTTTAAACTTTTAGTTTCCATAGACATGGGGGAAAAAAAATTCTTAAAAAGGAGAGAAGTCGCACTTTTGTCTGCATCTTAGTTTTAAGAATTTCCAGCCAAGTACATTAACTCCAAAATAAAAATAATTTTAAAAGTTATCAGTTCAAATGCTTGGCTTCACATTGTTCTTTGAGTAAATTCTGCCCTCTTGTGGTGCAACTCACAAATTGTGTTCATTTCTTGAAAAAATACGTTGTTATTGATGTCCATTTTTCACAGAGAGAGGCAACTATGTAAACAGTGCTTCGTTTTCAAAGGCAAGAAATCCCAGTGGGAAAGTAAAGCTCAGATCAGTGGAGAATATGGACTGCATTGCTTAGCTACCAACAGCAAATGAAAAAAAGCTTGATGCCTTTTTATGCATACATTGCAATCCTAAGTATATAGCAAAACATGTATATATGTTCACTGGGTAAGGACTACTGCTTTAATACCATTCATTTTTAGAGAAGCTTCTCTTTTGGTGAATTAAAAGCAGCCATGTTACCTTAAAGCAGTTTCTTTTGATGATCTATTCAAGACTTGAGAAGTTTATTCAGCCCTTCTCAGGGAGGGGGTGTTGTAGAGCAGAGGCTCCCGACCTTTTAGGCACCAGGGACCAGTTCCCCGGAGAGAGATTTTTCCACGGACCGGAGAGGGAGTGGTTTCATGTGCTCCTGCATCCCGCGGATGGATCTTCGCTTGTTTGTGTGGCCCAGTTTCTGGCATACTGTGGCCCGGTGCCGGTCCATGGACCGGGTATTGGGGACCGCTGTTGTAGAGGAAAGGAAGGAGAGGGAGATAAATGCTGCGGAAATCAAGAGAGAAATGTTCAAAAATAACTCAATATTCCAAGGTGATTCCAAGCCTAGGTGTATGGCAGCGTTTCTCAACATTTGTGTGACGGCGACCCCTGTCACATGAACGTGCTGCGCATGCGTGGCGCGGCGCGCATGCGGGGTGGGGCGCCCCATGTGCAACGCACATGCGCGGCGGCGCCCCATGCGCAGCGCGCATGCGTGGGGGGGCGATGGGGGGAAATGGCGGATTGCATTGTTTGGCGACCCCCGTAAAATGGTCGATCGACCCCAAATGGGGTCGCGACCCATAGGTTGAGAACCGCTGGTGTATGGGGTTTTTTCCTCATTCTTCCAGAATATTTGACTCTAAAGACTAAAATGGTGAGCTTCCCCATTGATGTAATGTGTATGTTTTTTTTTCTTTAAAAAGAAGCTATCCTTTCATGTCTTTAGAAATGCAAACAAATTTGAGACAGAGCTGCACCCTCTAACCATTGTATATCTGAATACTAGTCCACCAACACATAATTACACGGATGCACTCAGAGGATGTACTATTTATTTGGGTAAACAAAATACATATGTATATCATTAATCATTCAGCATCAGGTAAAGAATTATACATTGTTGTTTTTGTTAATGATCCTCCCAAAATAGAGATTTTCAACATGCCTTTTTAAGCTAGGATTTACATTCCCACTTCATGTTTTCAAAAGTGAAACCATCCATTAAAAAAAAAAAAATACAAGTACAAACGATTAGATCCCAATCACATCAACTCTACATAACAAAATGAAAGAGTGCTGGTTAATTTCTGATTCTTTCCTCCTTCTCCACAATCCTAGCTACCATCAAAATAAGTCAAATAAAAAATAAAATAAAATAAGCCAACAATGAATAAAGTGTAATTTTTAAAGTTGTCTTGTTTAAAAAATGACTGCCTTCCCCCCCCACACACACACACTGTCAAAGCAAGGTCCTTGATATATTGCCCATATTGTAACGAAAAAGGAAAATAGAAAAACAATATTTACATGATCAGAAATCAGCCAACTGACTTAATTGTTCTCTTTCAGCCTCCTGTTCTACTTGGATGTCACAAGCTCAGACAGAATTTAAAAGAGTGGCCGAAGCCAACGTAACTTTGCCCTGTCATCATCGCCTACACCTTCTGGAGCCAGCAAGTCTGGATATAGAGTGGCTGCTAAAGAATTCTGAAGCTAAACCCAAAGTGGTATGTCTCATCTAGCTTTCTTCAATCTTGGCAATTTTAAGACAAGTGGACTTCAACTCCCTGGATTCTCCAGCCAGCCATGCTGGCTGAGGCATTCTGGGAGTTGAAGTCCACACATCTTAAAGTTGCCAAGTTTGAGGAACACTGATACATTGCCTCAGTCTAGATCATCATTGTATGACTCACTTTCTAAGATTGTCAATATTTATAGAATAAATTTAGATATGAGAAAGAATGTGGGTTTATAGGACTGTGAATCAGGCTTTTTTGCTGATGCATGCTGCAAATAGCATCTTTATACAGGTATCTGAAGTAATCAACATAGAACGGAGAAGAAGGCAAAAAGGTGTTTAAACATTGTGCCTGTCTCTCTTTAACTCTTTAAACCAAGTAAGTCTTGTTATGCCCCCACTTACTACAAATCTCCCTTTTGCACAGCCCTAGATAATTGTGATTTGCCTTCATTATGATTTTAACTCAAAAGCAAATAATCAGCTTATAAAAATGTGAATCACACACTGGGTTTCCTACAAGGTTTACCAAAGTTTTCATAGCAATTATCTGAGGGTTGAAAACATATTTATTTTTTCAACTGGACTCAAGAATGGCTGATAGACAGTCAAAATTATGACAAGCCATCAAATGTATAAATTAGTGGCTCCAGCAGGAATTCTGGTACCCAACAGCCATCTTGAGGATCACTTCTTTTTCAATCCTCTCAGTTAAGTGGATTGGGTATCTTTTTTTTTTTTTGTTCATACAGTGCAAAGATAGTAGAAATACATGGTTGTCTGCTGAGCTTTTCAAAGGAATTTAAAAAGATCAGCCAAGTAGTCTCTCATTCTGAATTACTAAAGCAGTCAACTTAACTTCCCCCAAACATTCAGCTATGCCGATAAAATGAAGTGTGAGATAATCCTTTAAACAAACAAACAAAAACCACTATCAGGTTATGATCAGTTCCAGACTACAGCTTGAAGGCTTAAAGTGCTATTAGCTAAACACAGAGAGATATATTATTTTTATGGGAAACTGTTCAAGTGATTGAATGCTAAAAACAGGGACTAAGAATATAGTTCCCTACTCTCCAAAAACTTCACAGGAGGTTATTTTTATTTACATAGTGAAATAAAGCGGCAGATTTTCAAAATGAATCCTTTTGCCAGTTCCAATTACAAACAGTCATTTGGAGATGATTAGTCTGGTTTTTAGAGATTGAAGAGAACTCCCTATTTCATCCCTTTAAACTTGTTTGCAAAATACATGTTTTTCTTCTCTAAATTGGAAGTATGTTAAAAATCTGCATTTACAGCCAAACCTATTTAGAGTGTGTGGCCAACAGAACCATTAAGGCATACGGTAATTATGAAACTGAATCAGTGCACGCTGTTATCAGTCATTTGGGAAACTTGCCACTGGAAGGCCTTGTTATTGGTTGTGTGAAGTGAGTTACCATAGCTGGGGAGATTATCTGGTGAACAGATAAACACTGCCGTAAGTTTAATATCACTAAATAACTAAGTTTGCAAAAGGCTTAGCAAAGCTAAACTGATGTGCAACTTTGTCTCCCAGGTAATCACTTATGCAGGAGGCAACATCTATCATGATATGATCGAAGAACAAAAGGGTCGTGTTTCATTCGCCTCTAATTTCCTGACTGGAGATGCCTCTTTGGAGATTTCTCTTCTGCAGCCAAGTGACTCTGGGCAATATACGTGCAAAGTTAAAAATGCTGGACAGTATGAATGGACACACATCACTCTGAAGGTCCTGGGTAAGACAGTCACAACATTTTCAAAATAAATACTTAGCTTTTCTGTTGAATATGCTGGTTTTTTTCTGACTCACAGGGAGAATCCCACTGATTGTTTTTTTCTTCCTTTCCAGAAAAACCTTCGAAACCCAAATGCTGGAAAGAAGGGGAAGCATCTCAAGGAAAAGAAATCACTTTACAGTGTAACTCCATCTCTGGCACAGCCCCTATTATGTACACATGGCAGCGTGTAGATGCAAAGGGAAAACTTGAGCCTCTGCCACCCTTGACACACCTCAGTAAGTTTTGCCGGTTTAAACCATCCCGCAACTCCATGAATTATCCTATTTCTTATTTAAAAGCTAATATCACTGTGTATTATGCCAGCAAATTAATTCTATCATGTAATGATATCCTTAGGCTCTAAATGTCATTTAATCTTGTCCCTTAATTTATTTTAGATCTCTCTAATCCTGCCCAAATTATTATGAAGAATCTCACATGGATGTTCACAGGATCTTACCAGTGTACTGCCTCCAATGAGGCAGGAGAGGACAACTGTGCTATACACGTGACAGTGCAACGTAAGTATGGAAGACCTCTAGAAAAATTTGAACTGTGCTTGGAAAACTACTGATAACCAGTGCAGGAATCAGAATATATGTATTCAGCTACAACGATAGCCTCCCCTGGTAGATGTCTGGCTTTTGCAGCAACTTGCAGAGAGGCAAGGAAGTGGCCTTGAAGCAAATGCTCAGGAACCATTATAGAAATCAAAAGGACAGATGCATTCCTTAAGGCTCCGGAAAGTATTCAGAAAAGATTCCCTGAGGTATAAGAAGAAGGGAGGGAGGGAAAGGCACAATCAGACTTGTAAGATTTTGTTACTATAGCCAGCCACAATACAGGTAGTCCTTGACCTACAACCACAACTGAGCCCAAAACTTCTGTTAAGTAAGACATTTCTTAGGTGAGTTTTGCCTTATTTTACGATTTTTCTTCCCACAGTTGTTAAGTGAATCACTGAAGTTGACAAATTAGTAACACGGTTATTAAGTGAATCTGGCTTCCCCATAGACTTTGCTTGTGAGAAGGTCACAAAAGGGGATCCTGTGACCCTTGGACACAGCAATAAATACGAACCAAGTTGCCAAGCGCCTGAATTTTGATCACGTAATCATGGGGATGCTGCAAAGGTCATAATTGTGAAAACGGTCATAAGTCACATTTTTCAATACTGTTGTAACTCTAAACGGTCACTAGATGAACTGTTGTAAGTCAAGGACTACCTGTATAGTTCTAGTCTTCCAAGGGACTTGGTTTCCTTTTTTTACCTTGTAGGACTATCCCAGTTCTTGGTAGAACATGATTGAATAATCGAAATGGGTAGTGGTATAACGTAAGTCACTGTCACCAGGGCTCCTTGTTCTAGAAAGGGCAGCAACTGGTACACGCCCAGCCACGGCATCATCAGAGCTGTGAGCTGAATAGAACACTTCAATGAGGGAGATGTTATTTTGAAGCGACAGTGACCTCATTGAAAGCAATTATTACAATTAAATTGCAGCAAAACAGTTCTGGGCAATCAATAATACCGCCTCGGCAAGGATTCCATTTGAGCTTCTTTCATCCCATCCAGTACTTAAAATGCTAGACTGAGATCTGTGAAGCATCTCTGGCTGTGTTCGAAGTAGGGATATGTAACTGAGCATCATCAGAATATTAATATTAAGTTCACCACCCCATCTTTTACAAAACCTCTCCAGAAAATTCCATGTAGATGTTAAGTAACACGGAGATGGTAGCTGGCCCTGTGGGACTTAAGAGCTTAAGAGCTTTTTCCCACAACTATCAACTGGAAGTGCTCATTTAAAAAAAAAAAGTGGCACAACTTTAAAAATAGCCTCCGATTCCAAATCCCAACAGGCAGTCCAGAAGGATACCATATTTGTCAGGTATTTCAATGGACTGGGAGAGGTGTGCTTCCTTCACCTGTGTCAGCCTCTACTTGTATTCAAGACTGGAATTTAATTTTAACAAATGAAAATTCTAATGTGCAGAATATGCCAACACCAAAACATTTAACATTTTAAATCTAAGCTTGGGAGTCAGGTATGTGAAATATGCAATGCAAAAGAAAGCTAAAGCAACACTAACTACATTCAGGGCAATTAATGGTCTGTGTGCAACTGGGTGGATTACACCGCTGCCGAAAATCTGAAGCGATAAACTACTATCGTTTGCATAATCTGAGATGCGTTGGCTGAGAAAAACGAGAAGAAAACAACCAGCCCATTGCTCCAGGGTAGAGTTAGTTCAATTTAACCTTTGTTATAGTTTTATTCACAGTTTAACCATGGAAAATGAAGTCTCCCTTGAATCAAGCTCTTTTCCCTGTAACACAAATATGTCTATGGGTTTTTTTTTCTTGCTAATTCTACAGAAGTAGTGTGTTTGCAACTTCTTCCAGAGTAATTTTGCAACTTTCCAAAGCGGTGTAGAAATCCTGGGACTTCCTGTTAATCTCTGTCTCAAATCACAAAACAGCTCCAATTGGTTTACCTTTTTCAAGGTCAGCCAAGGTTACCCAGGGCTGCTACCTCCTGTGGCATAAAACAATGGGAATATACTATCTGTTTTGAGACAAAAGAAAGGAGACTCGGTTGAAAATACCCATGCAACAGATGCCAGAATTACAAAAACAGTATTTGGCTATAGAACAAATAAAATGTAGCATTTGTTTCTAAATCAACAGATCCCCCAAATGTTGGCATCATTGCTGGAGCAATCTGTGGAGTGATGGGAGTATCCTTGCTAGTTGTCTTGGCTGTGTGGCTAACTATCAAAAGGAAAGAAAAAAATAAATATGAAGAAGAGACTCCAAATGAAATCAGGTAAATTGCTTGTAAAAACCACTCTTTAAGCATTCAAAAGCTGCAGTCTCTTAATTTTATTACAGAACAGCCTCAGAACTGGAGGGGAGAATATAAGTCAGTGATAAAGGGAATGTTTTATGTGCAATCCCAAAATCAGTCACTAACATTCAGTCTTAAAGGAGATCACGTAGTAGGGTTCCAAAACATCTTTTTCTGAAACCATGTAAAGCGAATCTGAGTTGTGAGGAATATTAGTGTGCTCTATGAACTAATAGTCTGTCAAAAATATATATTTTGTTCTATTTTAAAAGATTGAACACACTTACTATACCATTTCCTTTCCTGGATTACAACTGCAATGTCCTCTGGAGAAGATAAGGCTATTTTCCTCTCTGATACAAGTCTTGTTCTTCTATATAAAGCAAATTTACATTTACAAAGATGGAATGAGGTCTCTTTAACATTTTGAACTATTTAGTCATCAGCATACATGGGAGGGTGCGCACACTTTTTGTAACTTGTTTTCTGAAATATGACAATATTCTGTGTTGAATCTACTCTAACATAGCACATCACTTCTTACTAGATGTTTCTTGAACTTTCTTTGTGGGGCATTTCAAAAGTATGACTCAACTGACAACACCCTTATGACTCAAAGGAATCCTGCAATTTAATTCTATTTGAATAACCTTTCCCTCTTTTATATTCCTTTACTTGTTGCAATCTAATCATGCTGACCTCTGCAGCTTTTGAGCAATCATTAAAAATCCTCACTAAATCCTTGATTTACCTAAACTGATTTTCCTAAAATCAACATCTCCAAAGTTTGGAGTTTTTTTTTAATTGCATGGAACTTTCCTTTTCCCTGTTCCACCACACACACACCCCATCACCTTCTTTTTGCTCATCTTTTGCGCAACTTCAACATCTGTATTTTTTTTCTTTTTATTTCACTGCTAGTTCCTGAAAGCCACATAAAAGGGTTATAAATTAATTGGCATAATAGGTGATGCCACAAAAAGCACAAATGATTTTTTCATGTTTAACACAGGAAAAAATACTTGAGGAAAATCCAAGAACCAGGAGGAAAGGAATGAATTCTTAATTTGTATTAAAAACTGATTCAAACTGCATCCTGTAGCAGATGGATCTAGGGCAAGCTTTTAAAAATTAGACAAATCTATGGAAGATAAAAGTATTGACACATTTTTCTGTAGCAGCCAGCCTGAATACCTCTGCTGAAACCAATTTTAGGTGAACTTGCAGCTCTTTATGGAAACAGAATTCTAAATAATACTTGGATCTTTAGTCTGACCCAACAACCCATTATGTTGGAAGGAAGAATATTGTGTAAAAGGTAGATGATGTTCTGTGTAGGTGTGAATCTCGGTTGAGTCAGAAACAGGGCAACTATGTAGGTCACATATAGCAGTTCATCTGAAATTCACTCCCAGAATTCAAACAGAGGTCTGGAGGGAGAATCCATTTCTAAAGGCAAGGCTTAAAGTCTGAAGAGTCAAAGGTTCTATTTGTACATTGGCCCAGGATTAACTAAATTATGGTTTGGTGAATTAACCCAACTGCCAGATTCACACAAAGCAGTAAGTCATAAAGTAACTTCAGTGTCTAGGTTCCTAAAACCCATTAACCTATAAATTAGTCAAATGATTTTAACCTAGCATGTCTGGGAAAGTCAAGTGATCAATCATGAGGGGAAAACTAGGACTACAGAAAAAAAAAATGATAGCAAAACATTCCTGGAAATAATCAGGAAATTAAAATAAATGTCTTTTAAGACTCTTATAGCTCTGACTAAAAGTCAGGAGCATTCCTATTCAAACGAAGAAGCTTATTTCTGAGTATAATTTATTTGCAAAATCTCTGCTTCTCAGTCTAATGTGCCTTTACCAGTTTATTAATCACGGTTTTACAAAAAAAAAAAAGAAGAAGAAGACTATGATTCAACTGAGGGAGAGTTTTTTCTATCATGAGTGGTTAGGAAGAGATATCTCCAAATTATCTAGAACAGGATTTCCCAAACTGTGAAGGAGACTCCCTTGGGCAGATACAGACAAAGACCAGGGGAGAAATGAATAACCTTTTAGTTACACTGTTATAGAATTAATCCACCTTTCCAAAGTTTCATTGTATTGTTTTAATTGTTCATTTCCGTTCATTTTGGTGTTTGATTTTGAAGGGTGGTGTGCACATCAACATCACAAAATTAACAACAATTAGGTCACTTGCCAGAGAATGATTTATTTTCACAGTCAGTGCTTCTAGTATTCTTTCTTGTTCCTCGGTCACAAATGAAAAAGAGGTTCAAATGCTTTGTCTCCCTGAAGCTTTCAAAATAATACTACCACTTCTACAAGTTGCTTTTATCATACATCAAATAATTCTATTCAACAGCATAATAATAACAATAGCAACAATGCCAATTCTACTCCAAACATCTGGCTTGTGCAACCAAGAAAAATAATGTAACAGCACTGCAGAGAAAATTATTTTAAAAAACCGCGTCTTTTAACCATGATGGGTGAAATGTATTTTGTCAACTGAAGCAGTTGAGAAAATATAGTACTTTTCACCAATCTTGACTTAGAAAAGCTCTCTACAACTAAATATGGCTAGACTACTGGCAGGTAACCCAGATTTGTTAAATCTCAAACACACTAGGGAATCTATGTTGTATGATTGTTACTGGTCCTTTATTATTCAGATTTTTAATCATTTTTACTTTTTTTAATCCCAGAGAAGATGCAGAGGCACCCAAGGCCCGACTGGTCAAGCCTGGCTCTTCCTCTTTGGGCTCCAGAAGTTCACATTCTGGTTCTTCCTCAACAAGATCAACAGAAAACAGTGCCTCTCGCAGCCAGCAAACATTGTCAACAGAAGCTACTCCACACCTAACACCAACACAACACAGCCACCTTGAGATGAATGGCAGGAAAATTGAGCCAAAGAGAAGTAACTATACCAGTTTGATCAAATCAGAAGCAACCCCTACACTGATGTCTGCCCAAAGTTGAGCTTTTCAAACCATTTGATTACTGTTCCATCTATTTGGGCTCCAGCTATATCCATAAATTACATACACCACCAGCATTATGCAATTATTTTATTTTGCAATGCAACATTTGTTTTCTATATTCGTGCACATACACACAAAGAACAAAAACCCTCGGTATTTTTTTATCTTTCTATTTTGAGGTACAAGCAGACTTGGAAAACAGAACTCATGTTGACCTTGTAAAAACAGTTATTTCTATTTTTTTAAGATTTTGTTTTTATTTTTGTGATTAAGACTTGCAAGGAGAAAAGGGAATGCTGACAAAATGAGAATAGCATTTTGCAGTTTTGAACCGATTTGCTTTTTTAAAGTATACGGTGGAATACAGTTATTCCAGCAGAATACTTAAGGGAAAATGAAATGCATACATATACAGTTGTCTTCTCAGTTGTGACCTCGATTTTTCACTGCTAATGTTAAGTCTGATCAGCTTCAAAAGCAAACTGACAGGACTTTGCATGTGTCTTTTTTTTTTTTAATTATCAATATTTGGACACATCACCACCAACAAAGCTGAAAACAGTAACTTTGAAAAAAAGCAAGAAGCAATATTAGACTTAATTCTTTACTGGAGGGACTTTCTGTGAACATGGAAGTGCATTAATTTAAGAAGGTACGTATGACTGAATACGGCTAAAGAATATAGACATTAGCCCACTGTGACCAAGCTAATGTATTTGTATGTATGTATATATTCATAAATAATAAGCAATTCCACGAAAGGGAATTATATCCTAATGGATCATTAGAATGTGAGATCAGCATCAAATCCTGAATTCCATTTACAAGTTTTTAAAAACGGTGTTTCAGAGTTTTAAAATACTGTTCTCTATGCTGGACATAGTGACATTTATTTTTAGGATGAGTAGTACCAAAGGGTTTTGGGGGGTGGGGAGCATTTTTAGTCAGAACACAATGTCATGATTGAGGCAATAATCTAGAAAATGTGACCATTCAGATGGATATAGCGTACTCAAACTTGTAAAACTAAATGCAAAATTTAAAGAGGTATAAAGAATGGAAATGAGCTGAAAATGTAGATTTCAGCATTGGTGTTAAGAATGCTTTCATCTCTCTAAAGTGGAAAGTCTCATCTATGGACACAACTAGCATCACCCAGCTTTAACGATAAGAAAATGCAAGTTGTTTGACTTCAAGTGCCAACTAGATTGCAATGCTGATGAGTTTTAAACTGATATTATTCCAGGGGGATTATTTCCATCACATTCTTAAACACAGCCAGCAAGAAGGAAATAAGAGAACCACTAGACTCATATATTATAAGAGTAATTTATAAATGGTGATTTAGGATTCAAAAGTAGGATGTGCATTGCTAATATAGGGCAGTCAGTATTACAGATCTTATAAGACTGTGACAGAAAGCTATTTTCACAAGAAATAAGAACCAGGTTTCTATCTATACAACAGCTACACTTAATTTAGAAGTCTCAGTAACAAAATTTCTGGAGCATCTTGAAGCACATTCAACTATGATTAAAGTCAGCATTTCATGAATTCCTCAGCTGAGTCTTATATATGCTCACTCAGAAGTTAAGAACCAGACATGGCAGGTTTCCTGTCTGCTTGTTTAGAATGTTAGGATTATTTCACCCTCTCAACCAAGCTAGTTTATCCCTTCATGGACCTTAACTGAATATTTAAAAAAACAATTCAGCTTACAACCTATCATCAAATCCCAGAACTCAACAGGAAGAAAGTAAAATCCAAGACAATGAACTATTTCATCACTTTATTTATATCAAAGCTTGGTATAATGCAGAATATCAAATCATGGTGAGTTATCCCAAGCTGTTTCCACCATCTTTTGAATTAAAAAGCTATTTAAGTCTTATTTTAAAATTGATGCTTAGTGAATGAGGTATAGAAATCATATAGTTATGAGGATTATAGTTATAATCCTCATAACTATTATATATAGTTATGAGGATTATAGTTATGAGCTGGCCACAAACAAGGAGTGTATATTGGAGGTGATGACCCTTTGAGAGCTGTATGCAACAAAATTTCATTTTGATATATGCCGATTGGTGTACTTTCAAAGTGACAATAAAGTTGTTGTTATTATTATTATTATTTGCTACAAAATAGAGCAGACCTGTCTTAACTCTTGTGAGGGGGTTATAGATAGTGTAATTTCTGAAAAAGTGGCTGGCACCATGACAAAATCCTCATTGGAAAGAATGGGGAATCACAAAATTTACTATATGGAAACAACAGGCTCTTTGAAAGATAAATTGACAATACACACTGTACTGGTATTCATTTCCAACTCTAATAAAACATCCACTGCACAGGAAGTGAAAAACCAGTTTCCTTAAATCACATGCAAATATATACCAAATTAAAAAATGGATTACTCCTAATACCATCCCAAACATTAGCGCAAAACTGCCTATGCTCAACAGTAGTAAAATGTAACAAAACCATACATCCTATTCTATAAATACATACAAGAACACCTTTAAAAAATTCCTGAAGATTCTGCCTTTTAAATCAACAAAAATGCACCCCATTTGCCAATTAAGCACATTATTCCATCCCTTCAGCGTTCTTTATGTTTATTTTTTTCAACTCCCTGGTTTGTGTTTTCTCTTTTCCTAAAACCACCTACTCTACCCTTATTATAGCTACTTTAAATTATCCATGTTTCATTTACTTTCCTACCCCACTCCCTCTTAGGTCACTCAGTTTTGAAAGCTTACCCCTGCAGCAGCCTGTTTCCTTTTTCCTGATAAATTTATGGCCATCTACCTGTCTAATCTTTTCTTTCCTTCCTGCAACTGTATTTTATTCATGGGGATACAGAAGCATGTTGAAAGAAAGGGGAACAGTAGCAACTAGGTCTCTCAAATGCTCAAATGTTGATTTTGTTGTTTTACAAGTCTTCAAAATGTTTTCTATTTCAAAAAAGGGAAATCCAGGGGAGGCTTGAAAAAGGAGCTGTTAGACACTACATTGGCAAGAGAGATAATAATCAAGTTATTTATTATAGATATACACAGATGTTTTGAGCCTCCAGTGTATATTTACCAGCCAAACTCTGCAAACGATTTGAATTCTACTACTGAAGAGAATAAATGAGATTATAAAATAAATCTAATGTAAGGGAAATTCTCAGATATTAAGGAGGGAAGAAATTATGGTGCAAGAAAATATAGTATGTCACATCACTAGGATTTCACTGTAAAAGGGAATATTTAAGCACAATGGCTTCAAATTCATGATGTTAAATTGTATCTCACAAGGAAACACTATATTATGAACAGCCAATTGTTATTTTGTAAAATATTCTTTAAACATTGTTACCTTGTATGCAATTTACTAATGTAGTACTGTTGTATAAATTCCTACTCTTGTTTTTATTCTTGAACTGGTAAAACTGAGAACATCTTAGTCTGCCGTCATCAATGATTTTTTGCTCAGAATAAGCAAACAAAAGGAAGTAAATATTTATTTTAAACTGTTCTGACTCCACAATTTTAAGGCTTCATTGTTTTTAAATAAAGGCTGCCAAACTGCAATTCAGCTAAATCCAAAGATAAACTCCTTTTTTTTTTTTTTAAATTTCAGGGGGAGGGGAGTGCACTCAACAATATTAAGATGCAAGGATCAGCATCTTGGGTAAATCCAGATGGGCTGGCAGAACAATATTTCTGAATGATGAACTAGGACCTGCTCTTTTTGGGTTGAAAGCCAGTCTTCATTGCCCATTTTCTTTTGGGCGGGAGGGGAAGCAAGGCCTCTTCCCAATCTTTCTGTCTCTGCAAACCCTTGGCTTTTTTTTTTTTTTTAAGATAATCTTCCTTTGCTTCTTGGAATAGTATGGCCAATCGCCTCCTATTCGGATTAAGGAGGAGAATCCTTTCAGGGTCAAGAAAGGCCATGTGGCGTCTGTCATCTCGGCAGAATATTTGACTGAACGAGATCTCTTGCGCAGCAATTCTCCCCTTCCATCAGCGCTCGCGGCCTGCATGAAGCGTCTCTTAGGGCAAGAGTGCCCTTGAGCACATGTAGAGTGCTGCTCTCCTTGCTTCTCAGCTACACGGGCTTCGACAACCCAGCGAGCTTAAGGTCGGTCCCCCAATCGCAGCAGCTCCCCACATCTTCCCCCACCCCCACTTTGCTGGTGGGGGTTGTAGTCCAATATCAGTCGGGATGGGGAGGCGGTTCAAACGGGGGCCTGGCGTGAACTGGGAAGAAGCGTTGGTGGCTTCACTCCCCGAGGGTTTCTTTCGTCAAGCCGCTCCGCTCGCGTCCTCCGCTAACCCCGGCCCTGGCCCTTCGCCAACGCCCTGCAGCAACCCAGCTCGCTCGGCCGCCATTTTGTCACCGGCTTCTCCTCAGCTCTCCTTCAAGCGGTTCGACTTTACCGGGCACGCCCACCGCCTTCCCGCGCGCCGGTTAACTCGACACCTGATTGGCCAGCGGGCCCCTCGGTCGACCTACGTTGGAATTCAATTGGCTCCTTTTGTATTAACACGTTCTCTTCCCTCCCACCCGCGCGCCTTCCCTTCCCTCCCACCCGCGCGCCTTCCCTTCTCTTCCCTTCCCTCCCTTCGTGCAAAGTATGCAGATCATGGAACGCCACTCTGGGAAGCGATTGGCTGCCTCTCGGAACACAAAGGGAAGCAACCCCAGGCGCCGAACGTCCCGTCTCTCCCTCTCAATCCCTTTGTCTCGCCTTGTTCATGCAAATAAGGCGCGCCATGAGGGAAGGTCATTGGCTCCTGGAGACGTCATCGAGTTCGAGTCTCCCTCCCTCCTCTCGCTCTGGGAGGGATGAACGTTCTAGAAAAAAGGAAAGAGGAAGAAAGAAGGAAAAAGCCGGCCGGCTCCCCCTTGACTCACGCGTCTCCTGACCCGCCCTCTTCCCCCGGCTTTGTTGCGTCACGATCTTCCGCCGCAGCCATTGGTGGAAGGCCGGCCTGCGGGGCTAAGGGATTGGCTCCCTAGCCGGAAAGAGGCGTGACTCTTCTGGAAAGTTCTCCAGAGGTATATAAGGACCGGGGCCAGCCCGGGAAAGCCGCTTGTGTCCGGCTGGTCTCGTGGCATCTTTTGTATTTATTGGTCTGCGCGGTTGAAACAGGTAATTATTTTCTCCCTTTTTCTTCTTGGCGGGAAGCACCAATTGCTTGGAAGCTGCTTGTGATTCTTAAGGGTTGGAGGAGAGAGAAATCCCTTTTTAATTTTTCCTGGTTATTTTCCCCCCTCCTTTTGGTAAGAAATAACCGGGGCTGCTGGGTGTCTACGGGGTGCAATGCAGAGAGAGAAGAGAGAGAGAGAAAGACGCGTTAATTTGAAAGGCGAATTCCAAATTCTCCTGCGCTGCCTCTCAAGGTGACCTGCGTTTTTCCTGCCTTGATCCTCTTCCTTCCCTCCTTTCTTTGCCAAGCCTTTGTCTGAATCCCCCCCCCCCGCGCAAGCAGAAAGGAGCTTACTGGGAGGGGGACGCGTGCAAAAGGCAGCGGGGGTTGCATTGCAGCAGGAACCCGGGCAGGGCTGCTTTTCCGCGCCGCCCCCCCCTTTTAAAAGGCTGGCTTACCCCCGCGTAAGCGTTTTGCCAAGGCATTGCAATCGCAGCTTCCTTTCCCTCCCTCCCCCCCCCACACCGGCCATCGACCGACCGGGAGGAATCGAAGCTTCTGGCGCTTAAGGCGATTAACATCAATCTTAGCCTGGAATTGGGGGTGGAGGGGGGGTTCAAGCCTCGGGGGGGGGGGAAGAGGCGAGCTTCCCGCCTGCCTGAAGGCTCTCTGAGCGTGGCGGGGTTTTTTGCAGACGTTTCGTGACCCAATTAGGTAACATGAGCGCTAGAAGGGAGGGGGGGGTTGCTCCCTATTAAACATCGACTCTAATACTCGTTCTTTAGGCTACCTAGCTGGGTAAGGAACCCCTCCACCCCCCAAGTTCAGAGAGCACCAAGAACCCCCATCCTTATTCCTTCCCCCCTTTTCTCTCCGCAAACTCCACCCCCCCCTTTTTGCACTGATGATGTCACCTGGTAGTTGGGCAATGAAACGTCTGCAAGAAAACCACCAAGCTGCTTCTCTTCCCTCTTCTCCTCCCCCCCCTTAAATCCCGAGTTAACAAATCCTCCCGGGTAAAGGCTTCTTCTCGTTACCCGCCCTTTGGGAAACTTAGGCGAGCGGTAAATGCAGGAAGGAGCCTTGCTATCTCTTTCTTCTCCCCCCCCCCATTCCCAAAATATTCCAATAGCGATGCGGCTCTAGGGAAAAGCGGGAGATGTTTAGAACAAAGCGAGGAAGGAAACTGGGGCGGCTTTGCTGCCGGCCGCTAAGCCCCGGGTCCTCGTCGGGCTTTCAAAGCCCGGGAGAGGCGCTTCTCGGTCTTCGCCGCCGCTGCCGCCACCCAGCGCCGGGGCGAAAGAGCGCTGGGTCTGCCAGCTGCCGTCGCCGCTTTTCTCCTGGCACGTGCTCAGCAGCGCGCTCTGCCAGTTCCGGTTTCTGTCGAAGCCCCGCCCCCGCCGTTCCACGGGGCTTCCTCCAGGGGCGCCGCCACGTGGTCGCTCCCGCGAATGAATATGAATGAAATTCCGTGGGGGGGGGAAGAGAGGAGCGAGGAATATGAATGAATTCTTGAGCCCAAGATGAGATCTCCAAGGTTATGAAAGGGCTGCTCCGGTTTTCCGATATTTCCTGGCAATACTGCAAGATGGCAAAGGTGTTTATGGGGGGGGGGTTAGATGAGTCGATTTGAGTACTTGGATAAATTAAATTTAAGCTTTTTTTAAAGCGTTAAAAGAGCAGTCTTTTCTACTTGGTTCATAGAGTGAGCCAAGAAACCGCTCCTAGTGACTTAAAAGCTCAAGTTGAGAAGGTTTAAAACCCGGGATTCACCAACCATGAGGACTTGGGTGGGGGGGGGGAACAATAGGAATTGAAGTCCAGACCATTAAAAAGTGCACAGGTTGAATTGCTGGCTGGGAATTCTGGGAGTTGAAGTCCCAACCGCTTATAGGTGCTCAGGTTGAACAAGGTGAGGTTGCTTTAGGTGAGGAACAAGAGGCATGCTTCTCTCTCAATGACTCATTTTTGTTTTTACCTTTGCAGTTCGCCATGTCTAAGGGACCATCTGTTGGGATTGACCTGGGCACCACCTATTCCTGCGTTGGTGTCTTCCAACATGGCAAGGTGGAAATCATTGCCAACGACCAGGGTAACAGGACTACGCCAAGCTACGTGGCATTCACAGATACCGAGAGACTGATTGGTGATGCTGCAAAGAACCAAGTGGCGATGAATCCCACAAACACAGTCTTTGGTAAGGGGACATGTCTCAAAACGGTTAGTGTGGGGGGAAAGCATAGCCTTTTAAGAGGGGCGCCTTTGTACCGAAAAACACTGCCTTTTCACTGCTCTGCTGCAGCAGTCAATATAGATAATTGCAGTGGCCAGCGTTCATGGCCATGACACCATTCTAACATTTGGGTGCTATTGTCAAAAGTGGTAATCAGATTCCTGTTTACTGGAGCAGTGGGGACTTAATTTATCATTCTTCAGGGCCTAGGTTTTGAAAATGGATTTTTTTTTAGAATTTGGTTGTTTTTAATCTTTGTTAACTAAAAGCCACAAAATTACAACCTTGACTTGATTTTAAGAGGATGCAGTTTTTGTGAAACGTATATTTTAACTTGCACGTTTTAAGTAAGAGGGACTAAGGAGCCGTTTTAATTAGAGGATATAACATCTACACTATCTTGCATAGATGCCAAGCGTCTGATTGGCCGAAGATTTGAAGATGCTGTAGTTCAGTCGGACATGAAGCATTGGCCCTTCACAGTCGTGAACGATGCCGGCAGACCCAAAGTCCAAGTGGAATACAAAGCAGAAAACAAAAGCTTTTATCCTGAAGAAATTTCTTCAATGGTGCTAACTAAAATGAAGGAGATTGCAGAGGCCTATCTAGGAAAGGTGAGCTCTTCAAATGGGAAGGGAAAGCATAGATATAATGTAAAGCAGGGGTAGTCAACCTTGGCTCTTTTATGACTCGTGGACTTCAACTCCCAGAATTCCTGAGCCAGCTGACTACCCCTGATGTAAAGTGAGCTCTTGTAGCAGGCAACTTTAAGCTGTGTGGACTTCAACTCCCAGAATTCCTCAGCCAGAAAGCTTGGCGTCCACACCTCTTAAGCTGCTGAGGTTGAAAATACGCTACTCTAGGCACTTTCCCTGCTCTTATAACCCTCTTTTCCCCCTCTCTAGACTGTTACAAATGCCGTGGTCACAGTCCCAGCTTATTTCAATGACTCCCAGCGTCAGGCTACAAAAGATGCCGGAACCATTGCTGGTCTCAATGTGCTCCGAATTATTAATGAGCCAACTGCAGCTGCGATTGCTTACGGCTTGGACAAAAAAGTGAGTGGTGAACCCTGAAAAGATTTGGGACGTCTTAAATATATATGATATTTGGGGGGGGATCCTAAACCCCTGAGATCTGGCTTGGGTTTTCCCCTTGACAACGTTCCATCTTTTTATCCCCAGGTTGGTGCTGAGAGGAATGTGCTGATCTTTGATCTGGGAGGGGGAACTTTCGATGTCTCCATCCTCACCATCGAAGACGGCATCTTTGAAGTGAAATCGACCGCGGGAGACACCCACTTGGGGGGCGAAGACTTCGACAACCGGATGGTCAACCATTTCATCACTGAGTTCAAGCGGAAGCACAAGAAGGACATCAGCGAAAACAAGCGTGCCGTCCGGCGCCTGCGCACCGCCTGCGAGCGGGCGAAACGCACCCTGTCCTCCAGCACTCAGGCCAGTATTGAAATTGACTCCCTGTACGAGGGCATTGATTTCTACACTTCCATCACCCGAGCTCGCTTCGAAGAGCTGAACGCCGACTTATTCCGTGGCACGCTGGACCCTGTGGAGAAAGCGCTGCGAGATGCCAAGCTGGATAAATCTCAGGTGCACGATATCGTGCTGGTTGGTGGGTCCACCCGAATCCCCAAGATCCAGAAACTCCTTCAGGATTTCTTCAACGGCAAAGAACTCAACAAGAGTATCAACCCCGATGAAGCCGTAGCCTACGGTGCAGGTAAATTGGAATGCAATTCCATCTTACCAGTTGGGAATGATCAAAAAGCTTTAGACTTTGGCTGCTGCATTAAAACAGCTTCCTTAACAATAGATAAATTTATGGGTGAAATTTCTGTCAGCTTGTCCAAAGGAATCCTTAAAATCCTTCATAATGTCAATCCGAATGTAATTATGACAAACTGAGAGCAAGCAAAGTTTTGTGTCTTGGGATAATTAGGGACATTTCGGGTATATGACAAACGATATTTTTTTTATTTCTTTAGCTGTTCAAGCTGCAATTCTATCCGGGGACAAATCTGAAAACGTGCAAGATCTGTTGTTGCTGGATGTGACTCCTCTCTCCCTGGGTATCGAGACAGCTGGTGGGGTCATGACAGTCCTGATCAAACGCAACACCACAATCCCTACCAAGCAGACTCAGACCTTCACTACATATTCCGATAATCAGCCAGGTGTGCTGATTCAGGTATGCAAAATTCACAGGAGTCTTTGCATTGGAGAGAATTTGTTATAATTGCTGAAATGTGCTAAGAGGCGATGTAATTCATTCCCTCTTGGAGCTTCCCAAAACAGGATGTGTAGACCAAGGTTTGGTTGCAATGATGAAGGTTCCAAAACCATTCGTAGTTTCCACCAGAGGTTGAAAAACCAGTGTTGGCTTAAATTACCTTCCTTGGATGTCTGAGCGACCGATTACCTGGGTCAAAAGGTCCTGACGTTTTTCCTTCAGAGCTGCGTCTTTTAAGCAGTAGGAAGTTGGAGTCAGCTGATGAATAGATATTTCCAATAGCTGGACTACAACTTCCATCCTCCAATGATCGGGCTAGACTTCAAAAAGACCTGGGGAGAAAGGCTTTCTCATCAGTGGGGAAACTTCCCATTGTAACCCACAATTGGAATTCAGCTTAACTACGGCCTGCCTAAATCTCATGTTTTCTGCTTTGCCTTCTCAGGTATACGAAGGAGAGAGAGCAATGACCAAGGACAACAACTTGCTGGGCAAGTTTGAACTGACAGGTATTCCTCCAGCTCCAAGAGGTGTGCCACAGATTGAAGTCACCTTCGATATTGATGCCAATGGCATCCTCAATGTTTCTGCTGTTGATAAGAGCACAGGCAAAGAGAACAAGATCACCATCACCAATGACAAAGGTGAGCTCCATAGAGAGACCCGGCGTTGCTTGGAAGGCCAATCACCATTGAAGAGTTGGCCATAAGTCAACGTTTCTGTGACATTGTAGGTTTAAACCAGTGTTTCTCAACCTTGACCATTTTAAGGCATGTGGACTTCAACTCCCAGAATTCCACAGCCAGCATTGCTGGCTGTGGAATTCTGGGAGTTGAAGTCCACATGCCTTAAAATGGTCAAGGTTGAGAAACACTGGTTTAAATGGTCATTCAATGAACTGTTGTAAGTCAAGAGCTACCTTACCTACTTTATTTGCCTTGACGTATTTCTGCCAGAGCACGCACAGTCTTAACTGCGCTGAGGTAACCCAGGAGTAAATAACAGTACACAGTGGTTTGTATTTAAATGGTGGTTTATATTATACTATCTACAAATATACACTAAAAATAAAATGCATACACGTGGTGAAACAGCCAACTCCAACACACAGCAGTTACAGCAGGAAAGGGACAAGAAAGACTCCAGCAAGGAGTCTTTATACTCAAGTTCTCAAAGGGATACAGACCCCTGCCGAGTCATTGCATCATTCATCTCACATTATACAAGCTGGTTAGCTTCTAAATCATTACCTTGACATATTCAGTGGACCTTAAAAGTTTTATCCTTTAACTTTACCCAGCAAAACTGGACAGCGTGAATAAAGCTACTTGATTGACAAGTTGGCTTTTGGCCTGTCCCCCATTTCTATTCAAATACTTTTTTTTGCTTAAAATAGTCCCACTATTATGGACTCGCTAGGCATTTAGCGTGGAAGGAAATTAATGACCAAGCATCCTTGTCTTTTTCATAGGTCGTCTCAGCAAGGAAGACATTGAGCGTATGGTCCAAGAAGCGGAGAAGTACAAGGCTGAGGACGAGAAGCAGAGAGACAAGGTGTCGTCCAAGAACTCCCTAGAATCCTATGCTTTCAACATGAAGGCAACTGTGGAAGATGAGAAGCTCCAAGGGAAGATCAATGATGATGACAAGCAGAAGATCTTGGACAAATGCAATGAAATCATCAATTGGCTGGATAAAAATCAGGTTTGTGGCCACCAGGGACATTTCTTTGCAAAGGTTCATCAGCCTCCCAATGATGCAGTTGTCAGTGAATCTCTACCAAGGGATAATTTGTGGTCGCGAGGATGAAGGTTCCAAAACCATTCGTAGTTTCCACCAGAAGGTTGAAAGACCGGTGTTGGCCAAATCACCTTCCTTGGATGTCTGAGCGACCCTTTCCTAGTTATATCCCATTATTTCCAGTTAAGTTGACTTCTGGACCCAGTCTCTTCCCTCTAGAACAGTGGTTCTCAACCTGTGGGTCGGGACCCCATTTGGGGTCGAATGACCATTTCACGGGGGTCACCAAACCACGCTGTCCGCCATTTTTTCCCTTTTCCCTAGCTGTCCTACTCCCTCTTATCGGTGGCCACACCCACTTGGGGGTCACCACAACATGGGGAACTGTATTATGGAGTCATGGCATTAGAAAGGTTGAGAACCACTGCTCTAGAAAAGTTAAGTTAAAGCTGTAACATTATTTTCTGAGCAATTCCTTACTGAGATACAGCAATGTGGGCGTCACTAATCAAGCGATGGGTGCTGGTACTTGAAAGAGATTTTCCTAGGTGTTTTTTTTAGTCTTTCAGAAAGAAAGAATTGCATATTCAGTTATTCTAGTCCTCATTGGCCTTTTTTCAATAAATTTACCATGTTTCTCTTTCCCTCCCCTGTATTTTTAGACTGCCGAGAAGGAAGAATTTGAGCACCAGCAGAAGGAACTGGAGAAGGTCTGCAATCCCATCATAACCAAGCTATACCAGAGCGCTGGAGGGATGCCTGGTGGTATGCCCGGTGGCATGCCTGGCAGCTTCCCTGGGGGTGGGGCACCCCCCTCCGGAGGAGCGTCCTCTGGACCAACCATTGAGGAGGTGGACTGAAGGTCCAAGACACGTGGCACTCCGTGGGCCACCTTCAGAACTTGAAGGACTGAAGACCGTAACCAAGGGCATTCTTGATAACTTTGAAATATGTGCACAGGGAAGGGAAGCAAACACTGCACTTTACCAGTATCAGTACTGTATAAGGAACAAGTGAAAATGTAATTCCAATCCCAATAAACTTATTTAATTGGCAACGGGGGGCTTGTGCTCTGCTTTTTTTTAAACCTTGCTTTGGGTCACTTCAGTAAAGGTCTACCCCCCCCCAACCGTGAAGGAATGGTACCAACTGTTGGATGTACAGTAGTCTACATCTGTGTTTCCTCAAAGCTTTTGACAACTTCAACTGGGGTGGACTTCAATTCCCAGAATCTACCAGCCAGCTGTGAATCCATCCAAGCTGGCTGGAGAATTCTGGCAGTTGAAGTCCACCCTAGTTGAAGCTGTCAAGCTTTAGAAACCTCTAGATAGCGGTGTCATATTGGAGGGAGGTAGCTGTTGGGAGGGAGAACTATTATCAGAAAAGGCCACAATACTAGCTAGGTCTCTGGCTGCAGATAAACCATAATACGTGGTTTGGCTAGAACTGGCAAAGCTAGATAAGGTGCTAGCAGTAAAGAGCATCAATGTGTGCCAATGCTTAAACCTAAGTTTCCTTGAAAATGCGGCAGGAGGGATTGGGCCTGCTTAGTGTTTGATGTTTTCACTAGTCTGGGAGAATAAAATACTCTGAGAAAAGTACCGTAAATGCCGGCGTATAAGACGACTTCCGCGAGCGCTGAAATCGGTGCCAAAGACGGGGGTTGTCTTATACGCCGAGTCGTCTTACACGCCAGAAATACTGGTAGTTTCCGGCATATAAGACGACGTTCTAGGAATGCGGCCCGGCTATAAAGACGGGTCGTCTTATACGCCGGGTCGCCTTGTACGCCGGCATTTACGGTATATTCTCTTGCAAACTTAGCTTGAAATAAAATACAACTTTATTGACTATAATGAAATAAAACGGGTTAATGAACCAGTCTTGGGCTGGATTTCCAATAAAGGCTTCTGAATGCCAAAGAACATTCAGAAAGATAACTGGAACCATTTAGAATAACAGAATCCAACCAAGCTCAGATGAACATCACAATGGGAAATTCATGGCAGGGAGGCTTGGCATTATGTCATACCTGTTTTTGACTTGAAATGGAATTTTCCCATTTTATGAGCTAAAAAGTTCAAAGCAGGGAAAAAATAGAAAATAGCTACTAATGAAAGGGACCACAGCTCTTTTACTGAGAACCTGAACTGGATCTTTTCTATCCATAAAGATAACAATTTTCAGAGTCTTTTGAGTGCTACATCAATACAAAATGCGTGAATAAGCAAGATGATTTTAAAAAATCAAGTTTTGTGATGTACAAATCTGTCTTAATTCCGTGCAGCAATGAGTGGGAACAACCCTTGAGACAGGACCTTCAAAATATTCATCAGTAAAGTACAGTGATCCAATTCGAAGCACGTGTGAGTGAAAAGGACTGACAAAGTACAGTAATTAGAACTGTTCTTAAAATGCCTCCAAAACCTCTAACAATGCTAAAAAACAAAATTTATGTTCATTACACCAACAGCAATCTGATACATCAACTGCGCCCTAATACAGTTATCCATCTTGTAGAACCTCAACATTCTGTAGTTTTCAATTCCCTCTCAAAGACAAATGGCCAGACTGGAAATGAGGGACTTTTGGACTCTTCATCCCTTCTAAAGAGATCTTTTTGCTTTGCTTCCCAGCCCACAAAACAGTTCTGTACAATGGGAATGTTCTCAACCCTAGGATTTAACTTTTTGCAAGTTAAAATATAGTCCATGCTAGCAAAAGTTTGCTAGCAAAGGTTGGTGCCTGTGATTGCTTTCCCCATGTAGAAGGTAATTTCTAGTTGAAATTTGTCTATGGAGATTCTTGATCATCTAAGACATGGTTGTCCCCAAGGCAACCTTTGAATGCTTTTCAAAAGACAAGTGGACTTCCTTGGGTTTTTTGCCTTGAAGATGTTTTGCTTCTCATCCAAGAAGGAAAAAAAAAATCAAGACAGTCCAAGAAACCATGGGTCAAATTGAAATTGGTGGTGGCACAGACACAACTGGCCAATGATGTCAACAGCAGTACATATGAGATTTGATCATCTCAAAAAAAAAAATCCCAGAATTTCTTCTGATTTCCTAATCTAGCTTCTCAGCTCAAACCAGGTGCTGTCCACACAGAGCATTCATTGAGCAACCATTTAAAGTTACAACAACATTGAAAAAAGTGACTCGCAACTGATCCTCACACTCGTGACCATCGTAGCGTCCCCAGTCACAAAAGTTTGGCAACTGGCATGCATTTGTGACGGTTGTACCATCCCACAGTCAAGTCACCACATCTGGGATCTTCCCAGCTGACTTCCAACAAGCGCAGTCAATGGGGCAATGATATGGCAAAAATGGTTGTAAAATCAGATGTGAATCACTTAACAGCCATCTTGCTTAACAACTGAAATCCTGGCCTTAATTGTGAGTCCTAAATTGAGGACTTTGTATTGTGCAGGCCCACTTAAGCACTGATGGTATTGCTCAGAAGTGAAAATGTCCAGCTGGTTTAATCTGGCTGCAACAATTCGGGCCCAAATGCTGCTTTTGTCCACCAGAGGTCAGCTGTTGTTAATTTATGGCAGCTTTTTCGAGTATCACCAGAAAAAAAGTGATTTATGATGGGTCCTCACATTTTAACCATCATTGCAGCATCTCCATGCTTCTGTAATCAAAATTCAGGGCACTTGGTAACTGGCACGCATTTGCAATGGTTGCAGCTTCCCAGGGTCCGGTAAACGTCATCTGAGATCTTCCCATCCAGCTTCCAACAAGCAAAGTCAATGCAGGAAACCGGATTCACTTAACTGCAGGATTCACTTAACAACTATGGCAAAAATAGGTCACAAAACTGGGCACGTCTCACTTAACAACTGCTTCCCATCTTGTATCAAAACAACTTGTTTGAAAGTCTGCAAGACAACCAAGGTCAGAGAGCCCCAAGGAAGTCACAGTCCGCCTCCTTCTCAACTCCACAAACCCCTCACCTTTCTAACACTGATGGTGTTACCTAGTTGGGTCATGAAATGTCTACAAGAAAACCACCAAGTGTCAATGCTGCTAACATCGGATTTTGTTTTTGCTTTGACAACATATGGAGATGCAACCATTTTCCTTCTTACGTTTTACTCTTAGAATTAAAGTTAGAATTCGATGATACTGGGGGGAGGAGAAATGTGCATGAGAGTTTAGTTCAGTGGTTCTCAACCTTTTTAATGCCGCGGCCCCCAACCGGTCGTAAATCAAGGACTAAACCAATCATAAGTCGAGGACTACCCAACCGGTCGTAAGTCGAGGACTTTCCCTGCCCGGGAGTGCCGCGCATGCGTGGTGCCACCCCTGTGCCAGCCGAGGCCTAGCTGGCAAGCGGCAGAGACGGAGCAGGCCGATCACCGGCTGGGCCACCAGCTGGCCCAGCCCAAGGGAGGTAAGGCACCCGCCGGAAAAGGGGGAAAAAATGGCGGACAGCCTTGCTTGGCGACCCCCGTGAAATGGTTGATCGACCCCTAACGGGGTCGCAACCCATAGGTTGAGAACCGCTGGTTTAGTTAGACATAATAATACTGTAACCAGTGTGAGAATCAAGGTTTTTGAAATAAGAGATGATAAGAATTGGCCGGGCTGGAGAACTGGAGGGAGTCTGCATTTCAAACTGATTGGAGAATGTGATTTATGACTGTAAATTAGAGGAGGGAATTGTGCTTTGATACTATGTGCTCAGGGGAGGGAAATTCAGATTTTGGCTTTGGCTATATATGTGCCAATGCTATGCTTCTCGAATAAAGATTCTTTAAGGTAAACAATGCCTTGAAGTTCTTTGAAGAGTTTCATCTATCAGAACCATGACACCAAGCTCAGAGAGCACCAAGGATCCCTCATCTCAACCCTGAGCTACACATATTCTCTTCTGTCGGACTTTGGTGAGTGAGCTGAGTTTGGACTCTGGAACCATTTCATCTCCTTTACTTGTACCACAATTTTCAGCCATACGGATTAAAAGTGAGTGTTTTGGCTCTTTTGTGTTTCTACAAAAAGAAACTGCCAGAATTCCCAACCACCCTGTTATTCAGCCTTCCCACACAATTTAGCCACATTAGGACTAGAGGCATTAATTTTAGATTACAGGCAAAACAGCCTCTTGAAGTATAGCTCAGCTGGGGACAAAAGGAAGCTGCATGAAAATTGCATCTTAAATTAGGAATTGACTGGGAAGTAAATAATTCCTCTCATCATTAGATGCTAATAGCAAAATCCTTTTCGTTATTAGACACCAATATCTGCCTATCCCAGGTCCTTGGGAAGGACCTAATAGATGGACAAAAATACCAAATCGACCCAGAACATCTGGCTGACTGTGAAATGCATCATCATCATCATCATCATCATCAAAGGCAAAACTAATAGTAATAGGTGCAATTCCCAAATAACAGGAGCACTACTTGAACACTATCGGCATTGACAAATTTCCTATCAGTCAATTACTACGACGATTTTGCATCGACTTTTGATGCAAAAAAAAAAAAAGAAAAAAGCCAAAAGGGTTTTCCAGGTGGCAAGGAAGAATTCTGCATCTTCCACTTCTTCTCAGTTTGACTTTTCCTCCAGTTTAGATCAGGGCAAAAGAAAGTTGATTTCTAATTTCTGCCGCTTAGTTTGATTTATTAATAAGTAGCCTTTTCATTAGCCCATAAAAGGGAAGGTGATGGGGAGAAAATTAAAAAATAAAAACACACTGTGCTTTTCTGGTGCCTGCTTGCTTTGATTTCCCAAACAATAGCTAATTCTATTATTCAGAGTGATTTCCCCACGGGCGGGCAGTTTATTTCTGTCATCAAGCATCCGATGAAATCTTTAAACATGAAATATGAAGCTCGGGAGGGACAAATCGCAGCTCGGGCTAACAAGTCACAAAGCTTCCGGAGTTGGCTGCGGAGTGTAATTTTGAAAGCGAGTGAAGTGAGCGGATCACGTGCCAGGCTTTTGTGAGCGTGCATTAATGTCGCTTTGACTTCGGTTGCCCATTGACAGCAAATTGACTTGTACTAATAGCATGCGAAAGGAGAGAAGGAGCTGGAAAGAAGGAA